CCAAGGACGGCGACTGACCTGATTCTGTGTGCCTGAGGTCCAAGAGAAAACAGAAACAGTCAAGAACAAGGCTACAGGGCTGGGGTGAGTCTCAGGGGAATAGCGCTTGCCTTGGTGTGCAGAAGGTCCTGTGTTCAGTCCCCAGCACTGCAGGACAAGACAAAGAGCAGTTCTACTTAAAAGCATGGGGTGAGTTGAGATTTCATCACAGGCATGCTCTTTCTCACTAATCTTTTTAGAGCATCATTTTCTTCTCTATTTCAATGGCAAGGTCTCCTTATACAGGGTATTTGTGTTAATAACAGCTTCAAGAATCAGAAACCTGATTAACCTCTTCGGTGGGCACCAAAGTCTCATTAGGGCAGAAGGAAGGGCTGAGCTGGTTTGGGGGGGGGAGATGCATTAGCACTTTGACTCAGCTGGTGTTGGGAGTGGGCGGCCACCCTGTCCAAACGGGCTGGTATTGTACCCTGTAAGATGCCTATGCTGTAAGATGTGGTTCTCATACTCTGAACTTCCTGCTGTAAGGATGTGGGCATTTTTTTATTTTGCTGCTTGTCCTCCACTGAGCACTGAACATGCCTTTGCATGTTCTAGGTAAGGTAGTAGGCAGGGCACAGAGACACAGTGGGTGCCACTTCTGAGTTGCCTGCCATGCTAAGTGCTCTGTGTGTGTGCGCGTGCGCGTGTGCATGTGTGTGTGTCTTCTCTGCTGTAACTTTCTCAGGTTCCATGATACTTCTGATCATAGCCTACTATAACGATTAGTGACTGTCAGAGTCATTTGTGTGACCAAGAGACCATTGGCACAGTGCAAAGAGCAAATGGCTCAGGTTGATCTTGCTTCAGACCCCTTGGTCCCTGACATAAGGCTTTTCTAATTTCAGTCCCATATCCTTAGGTTTCTTGTTCTCTAAATGGGAATAACAACCCTCACAAGATTGTATGAGAGCTTGGTGTATAGCTCAGCAGCACAGTGCCTGCCCGGCAACTGTGAGGACCTGAGTTCAATTCCCGGTACAAGAAAAAAAAGACTATGAGAATTAAATGAGATAACACATAACAAACATTTGTTACTTCTACCACATAGGAGACTTTCAGTAAAAAATCTGTGGCATGATTTCTTCTTAAGAGAGACAGGATAGGATCTGTGAATAATTTATCTTTATATTCCCACAGGGCCCACACAGGGTGACATGTTCATTATGAATTTGTTGAATGAATCGAAGAGTACATGTCCTTTGAGAATGAGATCCATGTTACAGCACTCTTCAAAGATATCTTTCTTTTGTTTTTGGTGCTGGGGATCAAAGCCAGAACTTCTTGCATGTTTATCATGGGCTGTTCCATGGAGCTGCACCTCTGGCCCCAAAGAGTTCTTTTTTGTCAGCCCACAGGAGTTCTGTGGCAGGCAAGGCCATCTCCCCTAGCAGTGCCCACAGCACTGCTCAGCACTTACCTGGAGGTCCTGGCCTAAGAATGCTGTGGCTGCACACCAGGGAGGGAAGGAAGGACAAAAGCAAGAACCACCCTCCAGCTATAGGATTCTGTTCTACAAGTGCTCCTTGAGTGGTTCCGGAAGCGTGTCTGGCTCTCCAGGTCCCTCTCTCCCAGAGAGTCAGGGGTGGGGACTGGCCTTGCCTGTGCCACCTGCAAGACCGTGGGCACAGGGAGGCTCCTGTTTCAGGCTTTAATACCCAGGACTTCCTAGCCCTTCCCTCCTATTATTTCCTTTCAGTAGCAGTGGAAACCAACGTATAACCTCTGAGAATGAGAGAAAGGAGACAGAAATTTTGACATTTCCAACTCCAACTTCCATCCTTCCAGTAGGCCCTTGGCAGGGTAAACTGACTTGTAAAAAAATTTTTTTTGAGACAGGGTCTCCTTATGCAGCTCAAGCTGGCAGTTCAAGTTCAGAACTCACTTTGTAGCTCAGGCTGGTCTCAAACTCGCAACAATCCTCCTGCCTCAGCTTCCTGAGTGCTAAGATTATAGGCATGCACCACTACACCTAGCTAAAAAGAAAATCATTCTCTTGACATATAGTAATTGTGCCTGTTTATGAGATAAAGCATGATATTTCAGTATGTGCGTTGTGTGATCATCAAAACAGTAACTAGCATATCCATCACCTTAAGCACTCATCATTTCAGCTTGAGAGATCCCCTCGATGCTCTTTCAAACACACAGACCATCATCGTGAGCTCAGCTTCCCGCTGCTCCAAACTCCCTGACCTGGAGTTTACAATTGGAACCCTCTACTGTCGCCCAAGTGAACAAGCAGCTGCTGATGTGGCCCAGACTGTGCACCTGGGGGGTTGGGCTGCAGGAGGCTGGAGTTCAGATCTCAGCTTTGCTACTCAGGTGCCATCAGATTGCAGACAAGTCATTTTTGCTCTGGGGACCTCAGAACCCTTCCCCATTTCTGGGGAAGGGTGCCAGAATCCTAAGGTCCCTGCTGTGTCCCTGTTGTTGGGAGGTTTCTAGCCCCCATGGGCATGGGGCAGGGTGTAAAATGAGATGCTATTACACACTTCGAGGTCATGTTCTGAGAATTGGAAGTGATAACACACGCATATAAGGTAATCTCAAAGTGGCCCTGATGCCCAACTCCAAACATTCAGGGGCTGAGGGATATAAAAGGTCTGGGATTCCCAGCCCCAGATTTGCTCATGCTAAAAATAAGTATTTTTCTCATTTCCATAACTTGGTAATCAGAGTGGAGAGACCCTGGCAGACCCCTGAAGACCTCTTGGGACCTGCGTTGTGGACAGCCCCTGTGGATTCTGCTTACAGGGAGCAATTTAAGAGACAAGCAAAACATGAAAAGCTATCCGGAATTAACAATGGGCCAGATGGTAATGCTAGTTTGAAGCAATAAAACATGATAAATAGCTTCCTGCTGCTACTCCTGATCAATTTCAATATTTAATAATTCCACTGCCACCCCCACCCCCTCATCTGGCCTCCTCCACAGGATCCTGTGATGTCGCCCCCACATTCAGCTCACAGAGCAAACACTTCACTTTCTGAAGGCGTCAGCAAAAAGTGACGCTGCTCAATTGTCACATGAGCGCGCTTGGTCCTCGAAATGGTAATTAATCTGCCTGCTTCTGCAGGCACTGTGTCTCACCCCTCTCCTAGTTGCCAGGGGAAGCGGCAAGCGAGCTGCCTATTGCAGAGATGCAAAAGTTATTGTTGATCCAATGGCTATTGGTGTTCCCTGACTTTTGTTGTTGAATTAAAGAAAAAAGAACAGTGGGGAAGTCCATGGTTATCTCAATGACCAGTTAATAGGAGGAAGTGACTCAGAAAAGGGAACTCAGGTGGATTGGTATTTGAGTCTTATCTACTGGCAATGCCTCTGGGCCTCAGTTTTTTCCTCTATACAATGGACGTAATCACACCCATAGCCAGGAGAATTCTAGCCAGTGACACATATGTGAAGTGCCAGGCAGAGGACCGGCATATAGGAAACAGCCAAAAACTGGCAACCAGTAGCACCATTACTAAATAGCAGTAACAAACACAAAGTCACTCAGCAAATGATTTCTGAGTGCTGTATCCCTGTTGTTGGGAGGTTTCTAGCCCCCATGGGCATGGGGCAGCAAAGGCACCACCAGTGGTCAGACACTCTTCTTGTAAGACTGTCCCTGAGCAGTGCCTGCTAGTAGGAACCTCAGTGGTGGAACAATTGTCCAGCATGCTCAAGGCCCTGGGTTGGGTCAACTCTAGCACTACAGCAAACAAACAAACAAACCAAAACTGCTTGGCATGGTCAGCAGTCACCCCAAATACTTTCATCTTCATTGACATGCAAGACCTCTGGGCCAGCCCAGAGATCAGAAAGTGTAAGCTCCCTTTTATGGATGAAGAACTCGAGATTAGGGGCAAGACGGCCTTCAAGCTGGGACTGACAGAAAATGGCCAAGTCAGTTCCGATCAGGGTCTCTCCACCACTGACTCTGCATCTTTCCCACTGAGTCACTGGATGGGCTGCTCCTGGGGTGCCCTGGCCCACTCAGTGAGTCCCTTCTGCAGGGAGGCAGCCAAGTGCAGTGGGAGGGCACTGCCTCTGGCTCACAGTTGTTATGGGACCTTGGTCACCTGAGCTGCGATTTACTCATCTGTGACAGGAGGCTCATGGGGCCTTCTTGCATTGGGTCTTGGGGACATTCAATGAAGGAACGTGCAATTTTGAGATAACTGTATAATTATCAGTTATGATTATTTCATCCTTTTAGGAAACATCCTCTGTGAGGAAAAAGATCAGAAACTCACTGACCCAAGGGCGGATTATTCTCCTAATAGAATCCTTCACCGCATAACCTACTGGATCAAGGTCATCTTCTTTGGCGCTCAAGGCTTCCCACAGCTCCATCCACCCCTTTTCCCTCCCCTTTTTGCTCCAGCCCGGTTGAGCTAGTTGGGATGGTCCTAGCTCAATGGCCTCTCACAAGTGTTCAACCTGGCTGGGTAACACCCCTGGCTGCATGCTTGACTCCAGCCTGTTCACTGGCTCACATCCTTCTCCATGTCTTCCTTGACCCTCCCTGAGTGAAGAGCTGACAGCTTCCCTGGAGTTTCCTGCCATCCCACCCCACACCACCTGCACCAGCATCCTTTCCTCAGCTGCTGCCACTCTAGAGTACTCTTTGCTCCGTTCATGCACAGCCTAGCCGACATGAGCTCAGCAAATGTGTGCTGAGGGACGAATGGATGCATGCAGAATCCAGTATCCTATCCCCAGTACACATGAAGTGAGTGCCTTAAGCAGAGACGAGGTCAGCTTAGAACTGGAGAGAGGTGAGGCTGGAGAGCAGTCAGCTAAATTCCTGGAATGATGTCTCTGGTGGATAGGATCCTCCTCACCCTTCCCCTTGATAAGAGGGAACAAAAGATGCATCTGTCTCTTACCCTCCCCCGACCCCCAGCCCTCGTTTGCCACACTTTGCAGATGAGGCCTCCACGAGGATGTGGTGGAGCCAGTCATCAGGTACCTGAGTCCCGCTGGTCCAGGGTCATGGAGTTCCACCTCCTCGTGATGTCAATGTACAGAATATCCACAGCGGCCATGGACAAATTGCTGCTGCTGAGCTTGCAGTTCCTGCCAAGGACAGGAAGGCAGATGTGTCACTGCTTGGCTGAAACCCACCGTGTGCCAGCTCTCTTTCAGGCCTATTCTGGACAGACTGCATGTGCCCCCTCCAAATGCATAGGCTGCCCCCCACCCCGTGTATGGTATAAGAAAGTGGGGTATTTGGGGGTGATTAGGTCATGAGAGCAAAGACATCAAGGATGGGATCAGTGACCCTGCATGAAGTGACACTGGAGGGCTTTGTGGCTCTCTGAACTACCTGCTGTGAACAGATCTCCAGAGAAAGAGGCCATGGCAAGCCAGAAGGCGGCCTCACCAGAGCCCCCAGATGCCAGCACCTTAACCTTGACTTCTCATTCACTGAGAATCAATGTTTACCATGTAAGTTGTCTGTCTGTACTATTGTTTGAAAGCTGCTCAGACTGACTGAGGTAGAGTCTTTGGTCAGGCCAGGAATGGCGGAAGAAAAGGGAGAAAATGAGCTGGGCTTAGGGGATGTTAGTTCCTATAGGTGCAGCTGTGGGCTTGGTTCAAGGGCTAATGGGCTGGAGAGAACACAGGGATCGGGATGGCAAGTCTGGAATTGCCATTGGGCAGTGAAGCCTCTGGGTAAAGATTTCACCCTCCCAGCTAAGCAATCAATGTGTAGGCAGTCTTGGGGCTAGTCTGACCTTAAACAGTTACGCAGCCCCCACCGGGGAAGTTCATGTTTCGAAAAACAACACCCCACCACATTTCTATTGATTAGTCCCTGGGCACACACTGCTCCCTCCTGCCAGCATCCAGGCAGTGTCTGGGGTCACGCTCGGAAGCCCCAGTGATGACAGCCATCACCAGCACAAGCTGAAGCCATCACTTCTGTCCAGAAGCAATTCCCCCCGTGCTCACCAGATGGGTCCCCGAGGCCACACCTAGAGACAAAGGCTCAATGTTTTTGTACTTCACTAGCCTTGATCTGTACCCTGAAGATTCTATGTAAGTCCCAAGTCAGTCACACTAAGCCCCAGATTTAGAAAGCAGAACAGCACAGCTGGATCACGCCCCTTTGTGTGTGCTGAGCCAGTGTGGGCATGGCTGAGAGAGGTCTCAGAGAGGTCCCTCACTGTTGGTCCTGACTTTCAGGGAGCCACCTAGAAATGTCAGGAGGAGGGCATGCACCTCTGAGTGCCAAATGTTCTTGTTTAGATGCAAGGAGGCCAAAGTCATCAGGTCTTCAGCCTGATGTCAGCAACTTGGCCTTCTGTCAAGCCACAGAAGGGGTGTTTAGGATCCTACCTCCCTTTTGGGGATGGAAGTGGGAGTGACACTCTGGTTTACTGAAAAAAACCTGCAGCCGTTGTTAGTTCTTTTCCTGATCTCTCTTTCCCTTTCCCTTTTCTTTTCCCAGGGCCAAAACTCCCTGCAGGCCAACTAGGCCCAGCATTTCAGTGAGTGGCCCTGCCTACCGGAGCAGGGGAGCTCTCCGATAGAGAGTCTAGGTTGCAGGGCTCTGGCTTTCTGTGCAGTCTAGAGGTGGCCCTTTGCTTGCCATTGTGCTGGACAAGATCATGCTGGGAGATGAGTCCCCAGGCAGGCTGGCTTTTCCCGAGTCCTAGAAGCTAGACTCGGGCTGGATGTCCCGCTGGCTGAACTACATTCAGTGCTGCTTTCGACTTTTCAAATGTATTCACATTCGTTGTGTCAGCTAATGATAAAGTGGGTCTTTGATTTCACATTTGTCATTATCCCTCATGTGGACAGTTCCCTTAGGAAGCAGACAGGTGAGCAGCCAGGATTGGGCATTCAGAAACCCATCCTCAGGCCTCCATCCTAACGATGGTGCCTGGACAGGCTAGTACTCCTGGCATAGTTGCTACCTCCCTCCCTCTCCTCCTTTCTTCCTTCCTATCCACATTTCCCAGGCCATCAATTCACATCCTGCTTCCCCCTGGGGCTCCTGCTCCGTATTTCAATCACAAGTCACCATGGCAGACTTCAAAGCACATCAGCGCACAGTTATTGAGCACCAGTAACAACATGTCAGTGGACGCCAAGCTTTTCATGTCACCTGTCACTGAGATGGCTATCTCTATTGGCTTCTGCTGGGGACAAGGCTCTGGTCTCTCCAGAGGTATCCTAACACCCTGTACTGCTAATTTCTAAAGCTTCATTAGAGTAGGCCACAGTCTTGCTTTAATTACCATATCGGTGTCCTCCAGGCTACCGGCTTGCCCACAGGACAGGGCACTGTCTGGCTTGCTCTGTGAGTTAATGGGGTATAAGAAAAGAAAACCAAACTGACCACTGGTATATAGTTATTTTTTTCTGACAGGAAGAAAATAGAAGTGTCAAACCTTTAGTAGGAGCTGTAATTTACCAAGGAGAATTCTCCATTTATCCCCTTCCAAGGTAATTCATCCTCCCTGGCAATGCTGCCGATACAGTTGATTGCAGCATCTACTGGCAGGACAGAGAAAGAGGGGATCCATGCCAACTGCAGGAGGCAGGAATTTTTATTCTGTCGGCGTTTATTGGTCACCACCTGTATGCCAGGCACATTCTTGCTCCTGAGCTCTAAGAATCTCTATGACCACTCTGTGAGGGAGGAGCTCCTGATCCCATTTCAGTGAAGGGTAAACTGAGATACAGGAAAAGGGACAGGACCTTTTCAGGAGCTGGGGTCCATATGCACGTTTTCCTCCAAGGACAGAACAGTGGACCTGGAATCTGTGGGGAGGGGTCCTAGCCCAGAGCCACAGGAAGAAGTCAACAATTGAGTATGAGGCCAGGAGCCAGTAAGGCTAGAGCCCGAGAGTCCTCCTGCTGGGAAGCATTGGGGGAAGAAAATCAGAGTCTCAGGTGACATATTTTCTCAAATTTGTCCCTCTGATCACCAAATATTCTCAGTGGACTCAAACAGAATGAAGAAAGCTAGAGTCAAGATGTCAAAACTTTGGAATGATTTTTTCATCCGTCTAATCCACTCAATATAGAATTTTATTTTATTCTGGGCACAGAGGGCGGAACAGAGGGCTCAGAAAGTGCACAGGATTTCCGAGCCTGGATGGGTAGCTCCTCATCAGAGACAACAGTTTTCCCTAATGCCTGGGGTTCAAGTCTTCCAAGTGACTCATGAGTGGAAAAATAAATTCTTCAGCAGAATAGAAGTTCAAGGAATATGATAACCCAAAAGCCAGAAAGATTCCTAGAGAAGGATTAGCTAGAAATGAAATTAGAAAACACCATCTTTGGAGTCAAGGGCACATGGGTTCACTGAATCTTGGCTTTACTGTGTGACCTTGAGCAAATCTCAGGAGCTCTCGTTTGTATGCTGAGAACAAGGCTGCTCACCTTCCCAGGCCCTCGGAAGGACCCACCCAGTGCCTGGCACACATGGAAAATGGGGCCTGGCAATTCACAGCCTTCCTTTATGATGTAGAACCCGTTTGAAAAATTACTTTTTGCTAGTTGGCTTGTTTTCCATTTTTTTTTTAGAATCAAAGGCATTTGCGCAATATGATGGGAGAGAAATCACAAATCATTCAAGTTCATTAGGAGCCCAAGTATAGAAAGATTTGAAACGATCATTCCCATTTCCTCTTAACTGCTGACATCTCATGGGAAATTTAGGAACCGACTTTCCCACTCCATAAAATCCTATTTATAGAATTTCTTTTGTGTTCATCCTTTCTCTGTATAAGCAAGAAGCTTATTATTTTTTCCTGGAGAGGTTTCTAAAATATAAAAGCTAACAAATAATCATATTTATTAAAAAGAAGTCAAAACCCACATTTCTACACACCTGGAGAGTGGGGAAACAAGACCAGGCTGGTTTTAAAAGTATGCAATTTAAAATGTTAGGATGGAGACTGCAGGCATAGAATGGCAAGGGATTAGCCCAGCACGGGAGTCTCAAAGTCACGGAAGCAAGGCCCCTTCCACTTCAATCCTAGAATGCACTAACCTACCCTGCTGCCTCTCAGAGAATTAAACCCCCTACCGCTCCCCATTATGAGGCATATTAATATCTCCTTATGATAAAAGGGAGCGGAAAGAGAAAAGGGAAAGAAGGGGAAAAAAGTTCTCTAATTCAAAAGGAGACCCAGGATCAGAAGCCACCAGGACTGGGCAGGGATTTCAAAGTGGAGCAGCCCTGAGTAAAAGGAAGGCTCACAGTGCAGAGGGGCTCACGCATCTCCTAGAAATAAAATCGGTTCCGGCCAACTGTTGAATTCTCAGGCTGCCTTCAAGGAAAATGCAGCAAGTGAAAATTGGGGTGGATTTCTACCGTGGGATGAGACACGTTTGGCAAAAGCATCCCACATGAATTATACTGGGTGCTTTCCCAGATTAGTAATCCAGTAGAAAGGGAATAACAAAGAGGCATTTTCCCCAAAGAAAGCTGTCAAGCTGAAGAATCAGTTAGATAAATTCTCTTTCCCAGAGCAAGTAGCATTCACATCCCAACAATTATTATTAAAAAATGTTTTAAAGAAACAAAAAAAAGAGGCACTTAATTCCTGGTGGTATGTACTGCAAGTTACGCGCCTCCTGTGGAAATGACATGAAATGCTGGTTTGATAGACTAAAGTCTAGACAAGAGAACAACAGTTCATTATTTCTCATTTCTTGGTGAAAAAGAAGAATAGAATATGGCCAGCCTGGCATTAGCATAATTCACTCTGAAAACTGCTGATCTAGGCAACACATTCGGAGAGATAGACCCTGCGAACAAATTCATTTGCACTGTTATTATTTTTTCCCCCTCGTTCTCTTCAGGGAACTTGGAGAGAAGGTGAGTAGTAGGCATGAAAGCCAAGCTCAGCTTCTGAGCTGTGCGAGGAAAAGGCGTGTGTACCTCACTAGCCAGAGTGTCTTTTTCAAAGTGCTCCTGAGAAGGCGCTCGGTTCAATGTAACATATGGCATAAATATTATTAATTCATAATGAGGCAAAATTTAAACCAAAGTGGAAAGGAGAGAGAATACTTGTTAGCAAGAGAAACTGCCTGCTGTTAAATTTAACTAGCAAGACCGAACATATCCAGATAAATCAGAGCAGAGAATATCATCTTTTCCCATTAAGTTGCTATTGGGATTTCTTGGAACATTTTAAAAGGAAAAGTCTGTTAGTGGTTGTGTGATATTTTGTCTGTTTCTTCTTGCATCTTTAATTATGACAGACATTTGTGGAATGGGAAAGCAGGCTTGCTGTCTTTGGGTGATCTGTTCCCCAGCAGAAGATGTCCCTCCTCCAGGGTCAAGGGCATCGTGGTTCCACTGGACAGCCTTGGCCACAGCCTGGGAACATGGCTGCAGGGACCTAATAGTCTCTAGTATTGCCAAAATTGGTTTCCCCAGAAAATACCCTTAATTACAGAGAACAAAGGGATGGGAAACTAGGAAGTCTATCACATAGAGACAGATTGGTAGCAGTATTTTTGACATCACCCTATTCTAGTCTGAGAACAATTTTTAAGGACTCTTTTATTAGGCCCAATCTCAATTCTGTGGATAAATGTCCATGGCTGTCACATCAGAGCTCACCCTTGCCATGGCTTCTACAGGCATCCAGTGCTGTGGTAGAACCTACAGAGTGGTTAAAATTATCATTTGATTGCCAGTTTTAACATTTATATACATATGCCAACATTTCACATTAAAAATCAGTGAGTCTAGCTTCTTTTGGATAATCCCAATCAGGCACAGCCCTTCCCATAGACTGGGTGGGGCTCTGTGTCCCCCAGGCCTGCCCCCTACTTCTTCTTGCCAGACCCCTGTGTTAGTTCACACTGTCTGGAGCTCAGAAAGAGGCAGACACCTGGCAGGTCTCACAGGGTCAGTGTACGTTATAGCTCCTAAGATATCCACATGGGACTCTGTTGTCTCTTCACCACGGTCCTGAATTGAGACTCCTGCTCAGTGGTGCAGACAGCTGCCCAGAAAGTTCCCACCTTGCTCCAGGAAGTCTGGGCCCATGGACATGTTATGCCAAAGTCCCCTACTGTCTCAACCTCACCGTTCTCCTGGGTTTCTATGTGCTTTCATAGTGTCTCAAGTACCCTCACGAGCTGTGTCCAGTGTCACTGGCTGTTTGTTTGCATTCCAGGGCTCAAGAATCACAAAGGAGCAGAGACTGCCTATCTAACTCTTCTCTTCCTCTCCTTTTTCTCTATGATGAAAGCGAAGATGCACAGAAAAAAAATGTCTATTTCCTAGCTTCCTTTGTTACTGGCAAATGAGACGGAAGTGGATACAGCTTCCAGGAAAGCTTTTAAGGGGATTTAATTTATCTGTTAGAGATCTTCGCTCTTCTTCCCTTCTTACCTAGAGTTCAACCAGGATGGCCATCTTCTGACCATAAGGCAACCCTGAAACTGGAAGTGCATGCTTAGAATGGATTAGCAGGAAGACAAGAAAGTGGGACATGGATTGTATTTGGGAGTCTTGGCCAGATCTAAAATCCTCATTACCAAATTTCTTGTTATATAAGAGAAAATTTACTATTTAAACCATTTCTACATAAGACTCTTATTAGTAGAAGTCAAATGTAGGTGCTACAAGAATCAGAGCATATAAGGGCAAATAATGACATGTCCCTGCTGACTTCTTTGAAAATTTCCACTGCTTAATGGACATACTGATCACAAGACTCCTATGAAGCAGGCATTGGGCCAGGTGCTTTATGATATGTTATATCCCAACTCATAGTAATAGTGCAATGTAGGAATGATCACCTATGCTTTGCAGACAAAGGAACTGAGACTCACAGAGGACAAAGGATTTGCCCAAAGTCACACAGCTATTAAGTAAATGCCTGATCCTGAAGCCAAACCTATGCTCTTTGACTTCCTTTTTCCCCCAAATCTCTCACCTTGAAACTAACACAAAGCCCTTCTCAAAAATCACGTTGCACACACCTTAAAGATTTGCTCAAATGTCACAAGTTCCTGGCAGTGCTTTTGTTTACCATCCTATGTGGTATTTATACACAGTAGTGCACCTCTCTGCCATTGCATCTTCTGTAGGAAAATGGATGCACAATGTAAGTGAAATCAGTCAGACACACAAACTAAATATCACATGATTCCCCCTCTATGAGAAATCCAAAATGTAAATAAAGAGCAAAATAAAAGATAGATGGTGGGAAATGGAGATAAAGCTTTTTCAAATGGGATGGGGATCAAGAGATGGAGGGAGAGGGAAAGGAGGGGAGGGGGATGAAAAGAATTAGATGCACTGTGTACATGTCCCAACTCCACTCCAAGGAGGTACCAAGACATGTACTAAAAGTAAAAATTGAAAAATAACTATCAGAAAGCTAGAGTTAAAATTTATACACTTTATTTGAAGAAAAGTCTTTGGCAAGAATGGTTTTCAAACAGTCATGCTTTGCCTTTTGACCTGTATTGTTATGTTGTTATGTCCTCTTTTATCTCAATCTCTCCCTTATTCATTAAAAAAATTATTTAGTTATTTTTTATGTTTTTTTAATTAAGGGGAAAAATTTAAAAAATTAGCAGGATATAGTATAGTAACTTTTTTTGATTTCCTATTAACTTGTTTTGAATACTCCTGTAATACTCCCACTATCTTGTTTTGAATGATTAGACTCTGTTCCATTCTGTATGATAGTATCAAGTTTGAGGGTATAGGCAACTACTTTGAAGGCAATAAGATTCACTAAGATGCCCATTCTGGTTTGACTATTATCTCCTTTGGAAGTCCTGTAATGTTTACAATGTTTAAGTTTTATTGGTCTTGTTCTCTACTGTTTTGTTCAACTTTATAATACCTAATGAGATAGACAATTCTTTTTGAGGCAACAAGAGACATTATGGTAACCATTGTTGATAACCTTGTACTCTGTTCTTATATCATGTACCAAGTTTATCCTTGGTTTTGACTGACAGCTTTGTTTTGCCATATTTTACTTTATTCTCCCCCCCCCAAAAAAAGTAATAAGAACTAAGGAGTAATAAAACCCAAAATGTGTAAAGTTTGTTGTAAAAAAGAGAGGGGGAAAAAGTGCTCTAAAGGATACAACTGCAAGTGTGTTTAGGGGTGTTAAATAGCTGACCATATTAATGTTTTTGGTTGGATCATTGAACACAACTGTTTGCAGTCTCACTGTTTGAATGTCCACTTTGTATGCTTTGATACTGTGACTTGACCAACTATCTCTAAGATGATAATATGTAATCTATTAACTGGTGATTTCTTACTGTTTTTTTTTTTTTTGTAGTTCTGTATTATTTGTACCCTTACACCGCTTTGTTTTGTTTTGTTTTTTCTCTTTTTCCTTTTAAATAAAATAAAAAAAGAAATGGTTTTCAAATCAAGATTTCTAATTATTTACTTTAGAGAATAAAACTGTGAAGAGGGTGATTTTGAGATGCAAAGTGGAAATATTAAAAGCAACAAGGAGGAAAAACAGCAGTGTTGAGGGTTGGTGGAGACTTTTTTGGAACATGTTAACCACTAAAGGGGCAATTCCCTGACATGCCTATTCATGTTGAAGAGGTCTGGAGTCATCTGTTTGGCACATTTTTAATGAGAATCTAGCTTGTTCTACACTCTGTAAGGACCCTTTGCACGTAATTTCTATATAAATATATATCTTTGAACATGGTAGGAAGAAGTTAACATCAGCTGACCACTTACCACATGCTGGATGTCCCTATCCAGACTTAATGAACCTCACTCACATGCACAATCTCAGGCCACAGGTGGCTTCCGCTCCCAGTTAACAGGACAAAGTCACTGAGGTTTGGGGGTGATCCTGATCTAATCATTAATTTAGGAAGATGCTTGCTTTGCAGGCTGCAGCAAATGTACTACTTATTTGTATCTTGCGTTTTATCTTGTACTAATCTCTCTATTATTTTTGTATTAGAATAAATGCACTAAATTATTTATCAGTTGAATTATTTAACTTTTCTTTCCTGAAATTGACACTTTGAAAGATGTGCCTTGTTGCCCTGTGGTGGCTCTGTAAATACTCAGCTCATAGCCATGTATCATGTGAAACCCCCAGGTTAAGGAGCACAAGGTCCGTCTGACCCCTAAGGGCAATTGCTAATGCATGTTTAAGGACCTAGCTCAAGATGTTGCTCAGGTTTGAGTGTGTCCCCCAAGAATGCCTGGTTTGGAGGTGAGGTTCTCTGTGTGAAATCTTTAAAAGGTGGGTCCTCAGTGGGAGGCACCTGGGTCACTGGGGTTGGACCCTCAGAAGTGATTAAAGCGATTCTTGTGGGACTCAGTTAATTCTTAGGAGAGCAAGTTGTTATAAGAATGAGTCAGGCCGTAAGTTGCTTTCTAGCTTCCTGTCTAGATGTGACTTCTCTCTCCCAGATGTGTTCCTTCCACAACAGTACCTGCCATGAGGACTTCATCGTATATCAAATCAGTGTGGATACCTGACCTTGGACTTTTAGCCTCCAAAACAGTGAACTAAACCTTTTTCCTCTATAATGTTATCTGATTTCATGTATTTTACTCTAGAAATGAAAAACAGACTAATACAGTAGTATGGAATTGTTTTTTGACCATGAACCTAAGGTTGTGAACGCTGTAACAATTATAACATTCATTGATTCACACAGCAAATGAGAATTAACTATCTACCAGAGCCAATGCCTGCCACAAGGTTAATCCAGACTCAAATGGGATACTAATCCAGCATCATTGAGTTCCCAAAGAGCAGTCAGGGAGATCTGACTAGCCAGTTATGGGTCTGGACCTTATGCTGCCCAGAGCCCAAATAATAATGTTCCACTGACCTTATAAAGGTACGAAAGCCTGTTGGTCCCAACTTCATTGTCCCCTTGATTCCCAGGAACCGGATAAACAAATTTGCCATCCTGTCCACCAGGCGCAGGTAGTTGAACTGTTTTGCATACTTGGGGAACACCTGCTTGAGGCAAATGGAAGGCAGGTGGGCTTCAGGGTTGGTGTCAGGGGCACCAGCCAGCTCATGGTCCAGAGGGTTTTCCTTCTCAGCTGGTGATTTCTCAAGCTGCTGAGACCTGAAAGATGCAAGGAAGTCATGATGTAGCGTTCTGCTGGCACCTGCTCCTTTCCCCGAGACTGCAGCAAGCTTGGTAGGTGGGTATTATCATGATTTTTATTTTACACATCTCACAGTGGACCTCTGGGAATGACTCACCCAGGCTCACACAGCTAGTGTGTAGCAAATCCAGGACTGGAACCAAGGGCAGAGCCGTGACTGGAAACTAAGGCTTCCTCCATTCTACCAGCCTGGCTTCCCATTATGGAAAACTTCCTTTTCTGTAGTCATGATCCAAAAGACTATTCTATTATGGAGGAGTCTGGGTTTGATTTCAAACTCCTACTTATGGGTAGTAATTGAATAATTAAGAAATATAAAAATCTCATTGAGGGCTGGCAAGAAGCCATAGACACAGTTCAATGAACAATTTGCAAAGATGCATCAGTACCCAGTTCTAGGAATAGGAACAATTACATTTTCTGGCTTCACTGTTTTCTTATTTGGAACTCATACAAAAAATGATCATAGTGTGATTTCTTAGTCTGGATATTTTATTCTAAAATTATTCTGATAGTTAAGAAAATTAGTGGTTAGTAACTCTCAGATACCCACTTCTAGCATGGAAGACCTTTCTGACCCCAAACACAATGTCATTTCCACTCACCCTGAATCTGGGATTCCTACCTGTTAAGTCTCATTACCAACTTTTAGTTACTTGAGGAGGAAAATCCAGAGTAAATGTCAACCATTCTTCTTCCTCTGTTTCCACCACCAGCCCCACTTCCTTAGTCCTTAAACCTACACCTGTTCTGCCCTGCTTGGGCTTGGTCAGCTCCTATGTAAGCTTCAGACCAGATCCTCCTACCTCCAGGATTTTTGTTGCTCAACAAAATAGCTAACATTTGAAATTTAAAGGATGAGAGGTTGGCTTATGGTTCAAAAGATTCAGTCCATGGTCTGCTGGCTCCAAGGCAGGAACCTTATGGTAGAAGAGTGTGGTCGAGCAAAGCTACATAGTTCAGGGTGACCAGGAAGCAGATCAAGAAAACAGTGCCAGAAGGGCCAGGGATCATGCACAGTAACCAAAGTTATATCTCTATGACTCACCCTGACACCCTCAGAAGTGTGCTTCACTAATCTGCTAGGCAGTTCCTAAATTAGTCAAGTTGACACAAACTTAGCCACCATGTCATCCCTAATTCACTCATCAGGTCGGCACTTTCAAAGCATAACTGACTGAGCCATTTATTTGTTAGCAATCTAGGATTTCTGAGTATGCAGTCCTTATTGTGGTACTTAAAGCCTTTCCTGGTTTCCTCCAAGGCCTTTTCATTTTCAGGTCCTATCTGGGAAGGCATACCATTGCTGCTAGGACCTGAAACTCTGCTCCTCTCAGCTTCTACCCACTGGTCTGGCCTGGGATCACAGACCAGCAGCTACTACACTCCTGATTCCCTTTTGTTCCCAAAGTCTCTTTGTGTATTTGCTACTTGGCTGCTCCTGGCCTGCCCAGAGCTGACACAATGGAGACCTCCGACCTTTCTGTGTCCACTCCAAAAATAGGACACTGAGCATGTATATATGGCCAGTTAATATTGTCCGGCTGATGAGTTGACCCAGGAAAATTAGACCAATGTCTCACGGTAATGAGCTCAACATTACTGCCATTCTCTACTCTTTTTCTCTTTATGCAATGGCTTTGTCCAAGCCAGGGTGCCATCTGTGCCCAGGTTGGGCAATATTGGTGACTTTGTACCGGCTTTCCCTGGCCTTAGCTACCTGGCACACTTGTTCTACCTTCAAAACCTGCTGAGGGCTCTCCTTGACCACACTAATGGTCTTTGAACTCGTGCCATTTCACTTGGCACATCTACGCTATGTTGGTTTCTGGGCCAGCCTTTTTTCTTATTTTGTGAGCTTAGTAGAGGCACAGTCCATATCTTATTCAATTATTATATCTATCGGACTTGGCACATATGAGTTGCTTGGGGAGTAGTTCACTGAATGTTTGAGTTGGGAAATTTCACATTTAATAGCAACATGAGCCCCAAAGAAAATATCAGCATTATGCCCCAAAAGCCCCTTTAAATGGCGGAGAATTTCCATAGGGAAACACCTTGCTTGACGGCTCTGTCCAAATAGTCCTGTCCTCTTGCCAGTCCTGCGAGCCAGCCTCTGGGACACAGAGCTCTCTTGTGTGACTAGCAAGCCCCGGAAGTCCTGTTCACAGTTCTAGGTAGAGCTTAACACTTGCCTCCAAGCAAGGACAGACCAGAGCAGCATGAGGGGAAAATCTCCTTTAAAGGTCACAGTCAGGAGGGTCTGGGGGAAACAAATGCTGTCTCTGATAGAGTAAAGCCCTTGTTCCTTGGGAGAAGAAGATGTTCCCAGGGCTGTGCAATTTTCTTCCAGCAAAAATGGTTTTGTCATTCTCACCTTGAACTTCAGCCAGCAAATAAAAATCAGGTGGCTACTTTTCAGACGAAATGAAGTGTTTCCCCACTAAGGTTGTAGGAAGAAAAATGAGGGAGAAAAAGTGACACTCTTACCAAAAATTAGCTCTTAAATTACTAGATAAGTGGCAGTTACTGACATGAAGAGCACTCAGGAAGTTTTGTTGAAGGGAAGATTTGGAAATGTGTAGTCTGAACATTCCAAGTGACAATGAGAATAGCTCAGAGCACCAACTAGTCAACAGACCTGTTCCACATTCGTGACCTTATTTGCTCTTCACGAAACTCCATGATGGAGACTTTGATTATACCTTTGCACCACGTGGGGAAACTGAGTCTCAGGAAGGTACAGCGCCTCTTCGCCCTCACTGAACTGGGATGATGAATTCTTCTAAGCCTGCACTCTGTTTTTTCTACCCTGCTAGTTTCAAGCACATCCTGATTCACATTGGGGATTATAAAATCCTAAATACTGCCATTTATTTTTATATTTCAAGGAGTCGTATTTATTTTTTTGGATGGTAAGAGTAATTCATGCTCCTCATAGACATTTTGAGAAAAATGTATCAAAGGATCAAAATCATTTGTAATCCCACAACTCAAATATTAATTCTGACATCTATATTTGTAGTTAGGGTAACAATTCATGCAGCCGAAGTCCTTCCTTTTGCCCTTTACACTACAGCACAGATGTCTTCCCAGGGAATTCAGGTGTTTTCAAGAGCATGTTTCCTGTGGACTGTAACACTCTGTACTGAGCCTGAACCATAATGTAATAATCATTCCTCCTGTTAGTGCCAGCGTGGCCTGGCATTTGACTAAACAGAGTCTGATGATCAGTCCCCTCAGTGATGTGCTCCCACTGTGGAGCACCAAATGCTACATACAGCTAGGAGTGGCTTTTGAGATCATTCTCTCAACTGACGTCATTTTGTTGTTGTGTAAAAATTTGCTTAGTATGAAATCTACCACTTAAACTATTTTAAAGTGATCAGCTCAGTGGCATTGATACATTCACAATGTGTGACCATTACTGCTCTCTATAACAATGCTGAGAGAAGAAATTTAAACCCAGGCAGACAGTGACATTACCACCAATGGGTCACTTAAACAAAAGCACACTGTCCAGGTGGTGGCCTCAACTTGGGTTGTCCTGGTGATGGGGCACCTTCAGGATCTCTCAAACAGGACACATTTTCCTAATGTCATGTCAGGGGATGTCTCTCTGCAGACTGCTTCCCTCCTGCCCCAGAGCTGTGCAGAATGAGTCTGTTTTCTCTCCAATGTGACAGTCTTTCACATGTCTGTCAAAGATTTCTGTATCCATCGGATGACTACCATTCTCTATCTTTCCCAAATCCCAATTAGTAACTCCAAGATAAAAAGGACCCTCGCATAACACAGCATTTTCATGGACTCTGAACCACAGATTCAAAGGAACGTGGTTTTATTCGACTCAAAGAAGACACAAAAAACATAGCTGATATATGAGGAAATAAAACAATGAGAAATGGTATCTTTGCTGGAGATAATTGCGATTATCACACTGAGACCCAAGCCATCACAAACACTGTAAAATCCCGTTTTTAATTAATAGCATTTTAATGGAAATGTTGTGCTTATGAAATAAAAGCGACTGGTAAAGAAAATATAAACCAAGCTTACTAGTCCTTTGGGTTCATTTTTTTAAAGAATTGAGTTTGGTGTATCCTTGATTCATTATAATAAGGGAAATATTTTAGAATGTTTTATCTATCATCATTTTTCAAATATAATGGAATTATTTTTCATTTAAACTCAAGAAAAAATATATCTCTATTTTCTCTGGAAAGCTGTTAAAAATCACTGCCATTTACTGGGCACCTACTATATATCAAACATTGTACTCAGCAATTTACCTACCCCATCTCATTTGTTTCTCATAAGAGTTCTATGAGGTAGATGGAAACTATTCCCATTTTATAGATTAGGAATCCAAAGCCCAGAGATGCTGAATAGTTGCCCCAATTTATACTATGAGTTGTAGAACTAGGATTTCTACTTAGGACAGTCTCACTCCGTATTCCATGCTTAATCCACTATATCATTCTTCTATGTATTTGATATCAAATAAAACCATAGACATTTCTTATGCATAAACTATGTGTATTGCGATTAACTGCCTTAGTTACTTTTCTTATTGGTGAGACAAAACACACAGTCCCCAAACTTAAAAGAGGAAAGGTTTATTTTGGCTTGCAGTCTGTAGAGGTTCCAGTCCACAACAGCCTGGCTCCAAGACAGGGGGACACGGCAGAAGGGCATCACAGAGGAGAAACAGCACACGGCAGACAGAAGACAGCACAAGCTGCAAGCAGCAGAATCAAAAGCCCTCTTTCTGTCCCTTGTATTCTATTCAGGTTGCATATCCTAACGGTGGGTAGCACTCACATCCAGGGAGGGCCTTCCTATTATCCAGAACTATGACAAACCAATCAGTGGACCGATTTAGTAACCACACATTCTTAATCCCAACACCACAAACTTTGGATCCAGCTGCCTCATTCAGTCATTGCTTTCCCAC